AGCCAAAAAAATTGTATTTGTTGTTATACTGTATTTTAATAGTATTTAATTTTAACAGGCAAGATGGTTATGCCAATTGTTTTATGTAGTACTTTTATAATGTTTTATACCATTGTCCTTTTATACTGTTTTAAATTGTTGGTTTTTATATTGTTTTATACTTTTGACTTTTAGATATCGTGTGAATGCATATGACCTTTGATCTGAGCATTGATAAAACCTCTCTTTCAATAATGTATATAATCTTCTCCAGTATTCAGTAAAATGGGCCTGAGTAACTGCAATAAACTGACATATTTTAGCAGACAGCTCATTACTGTGTGAAGGTACTGAGTGGTTTAACAAGGATGAAATTACATTATAATTATTGCAACTGAAAAAATTATGAAAGAATTGTGAAAAGTAAATGGAACCGGTTTTAGAATGCATTGTAGTATGCTTGAAAATCTCAAGATGATATTATAATTCCAGATATACATTAAATGCTAACATTTACTGTATATTAGTGCATGCTAAATAGATGTGCATATATCCCTAGAGCAAACACTAAGTGAATTTTGTTATCGTATAAAGAAAAGTTTTCTCTTTGCATTACAGTATATATACCAATTTACATAGCCATTTCAAGCATATGAAGAATATTTATTTTTGGGGTGCCACATTGTTCTTCCTGCCACAGAACAACATTTTTAGATGTGTGAAATGTATTTATTATTACAGATTCAGCCACTATGCAAATCTATACTTGTTGATTTCCTGTGATTCTCTTTTTAATACTGAAAAGGCATTACTGTGTAGCCAGTTATGCAAGTTCAAAATTTCAAAACTTTATGAGAAAATTATCATATAGTTTATAGAATAACAACATTAAGTATCATAAGCACTCAACGCCACAGAAAAATGCAACCAAATTTTACTTTCTGATATATCAAATATATGAAGAATAAGTAAGCATCACATCCTCCATATCCAAGACAGAACCGCATTCAGGCTTTCAAGTTACACAGTGTACTTCTAAATAATGTGACAATGCTGAAAAAGAAGTCTTTTGCTAGATAAAAAATGCATTCATTTTATAACAGTGCTATGTAAGCACTATAATCACAATAATTAAATAAACTCAAACTTTTAACCTCTGAACATTTTGCCAATTCCAAAGAGAAATACTAATCTTGACCATTGGTCTCATTATGTATTTGAAGATATTCCATAAAGCCAGCCAAGTGAAATGTAAGAAACTCTGTTTACTTCTTTGCAAATTTGTCTTTTGTAGAGATGAAGAATAAAAGCCTTCAATTTTCCTACACAACCTAAGCTATTTTTAAAAAATGGAAATAGATAAAAGGGTCCATTGTTTTTGGAATGCAACTGCCAATAACATTCAAAAACTGCTTGTCAGGTATATTTTATTGGTCAGTTGGAAAATGTAATCCCTACAAAATGTAATATATTACAATATAAAAATACTTGATGCTATCTCAGTATTTTCTTGATTTGAATATAATGTGAGAGCATAGAAGTTCTCCTGTCACATTTTTTCTTTAATATACTGCCTGGAATACTGTATACTGCAAAATTTCAGACATCCCTTTTATTCAGAAGCTAAAATCATTTGAAATGAAAAAAGGCTAAAAAAGTGATTCATTTCCCTGAACATAATTTTTAAAGTATAAACATAGCCTAGTGACAGAGGCCGAAAGTCTATTAGTATAAAAATTCCCAATACATACTGTTTAAAAGCTTACTCCTGTACTTTAGCAAAATGAATAAAATTAAACTAACAGTTCAGTAAATGTACTTTCCAAAGTGCTTTCATATTACACTACCCACAATTTGTTTTGTCATTATAGAATTTAAGAATGTGAGGGCTCTTAAATACAAATCAAATTTCAGACTTCTAATACATGCATGTGCGCACACACACATGCACAAAAGCTTTTTAATAGTAGGATATTTCTCTTTTTCAGCTAAGTAGGTCATAAACGAGTATAGGGTGACTTGGATCACAAAATTTGAGTTCTCTACAATGTAATATGGAAAGAAGAATCTATGTCGTTTATTGCAACAGCCTGAATCCTGATAAGGATCTGTCACTATCTGAAACAAGCATAAGGAACAGGATATTAAAACAACAAAACAAAATATGAGGTTTTGTGCAGATTTCCACCAGTTACACATTCCCCATATAATCTGAACTGGAGTCTACTTATGACAAGTATTTCCTCAAGACTCCTTAATGATAGGCCCTATTGTCTTTAACATTGTTTTGTGTGTTATTTCTTTTTTGTATTTAAATTGATGAATTTGCATTTATTTATTTACTGGTGGTCTGATTCATGCTATTCTATTTTATCTCATAATAAAGCCAAAAATTGATTATTATATTAAAATTGTAATGTAACATTAGAAGGACTTCCCTCTCACATACAGATTAATCCCTAAAGATGTCATGTACATTGTAATATTGAAGATTTTCATTCAAACCATATTTTGCTATTTAGAAGTAAATATGTATTTTTGTGAATGCATGCACAAAATGTGAAAAAATAATTAAGAATTAAGACGTATAACAGCAATGCTGATAGGACTGGGTTTTAGTTTTTCCACAAATAATTTGTCCATATTGTTATTGTTCATATATTTAGATACATTATTAAGATACTTCTTAGGGCACTAAATTTCACTTAATTTTTTCATAATTTTCCAAAATCTATTTAAATAATAAGTTTATTTTGAAATAAAGTAAGGGCCTATGATGAATGTGTTTTCATGATACATTTTGAACCATATAATAGAAAAATCTGCTAATTTTCAAAAATACTATTTAAAAAATCTATTTTAACTCAAAGCCAGAATATACTTTATATATTTTAAAATAATATAGTTTGTTTTACCTTCAGATTCGATACATCACTCACTTCACTCAAGGTTTAATGCTGCTTTTATCTTTTCAAGATGTTTAACACTTCAGAGCTGAAGAAAATTAATGTTATAACTGTTCATATTGACCATTTCAGCAGTAATTGCAAAAAGGAGTTATACAAGATGTTTGAGGGAAATAGCAACTTAGACTTCAGTTTTGTGCAAATATTGCTACTGAAGAGTTTTGATGAAGTAGTCCTGATACTCTTCCTTTCAGTGCTAGCGCGTGCCTAAATTAGTTCTCCATTTTGTGGTGGCCCTCTGAGAGTAATTCCCATTGAGAAGTGAACAAAGGCCATGACCTCTGGGTCAGAGTGTAATGCAGGAAGCATGACCTCCTCTTTGTTCAGATCAGCACTGTTTACTTTGTCTAAGTAAAGATCACCAATACATTAACTAAAGAGGATTAAAAGGGTCATATCCCCAGGGATATAGCTCAAACAAGTGGCAACTCTCCTTAGGCACCAAAATCATCTCGGATTTTTTAAATCACCCATTTTTTTCCTTGCATATTTTTAAGAGAAAGATAAAAGAAGAAGAGGCATGTTTAAATTTTGATGTTTTCCATTTCTGGTTTTGTCAAAAATTTTAAAAAGCTAAGAAATTATAAGTATAGAAGTAGGTAATGGAAAATATCAATATTTTTATTTTATTGAATTTGTGGTAAATTAGAATATCCAGTTTCTATAACTGTTTCATAAGTTAATATGGGCCTGAAAGGCACCAGCTGCCCAAGCAAGCATTTATTGCCAATGACCTGACAAGGGGGTTGTTTGTAAAACCAAGAAGAGATTTCTGGTCTCACTGTACTAAAATGTTTCCTTGCACAAGCACCATTTGAAATTAATGATACGAAGGCCCCTTTGTCATTAACAGATATCTCTAGTATGCATCTATCTCATGCTTCCTTAAATATGGAAATAGCACTATGTCCTAAATCTACCCAAATTACAGGATTTGCTTACCCTCCACATAGGTTGCTATTGCTCTATTTCAGCATTGTGGGGGGTTTTCCATTCAAAGCCAACAATATTATATAACTAAATACTTCTAAAATTTGTAATTGGTTTAGTTTCCCCTTACCCAAAAGTCAGGTCCAGACTGGATCTACACTGCCCTAAATCCCAGGATCTGATCCCAGATTATCTGCTTTGAACTGGATTTTATGAGTCTACACTACCAGAAAATCTGGGATAAGCAGATAATCTGGAATCAGATGCTGTGATATAGACCTTTTCTACACTGTCATATAATCCAGAATAGCAAGGCAGATAATCCATATTACCTGAGTTGAACTGGATTATCTGAGTCTACATTGCCATATATCTAGTTGAAAGTAGATAATCTGGATCCACAGAAGGGTCCACAGAGTAGTGTAGATCCAGCCTGAATCTTATCTAAGTCTGATCTGAGAGGGAAGCAGTTGGACATGGTGGCCTAGGAACTATGTTTCAGTAGGAATCTATGAGGTTGTGATGTGAGATAGAAGAAGCACAGTTTTTACTCTAAATTAGCTTTGTTTGTCTGCAGTGATGTCATCTTGCTAACAACTCTGAGCAGTTATAGCATGGACCACATTGCAAATGAATAGGCTCAATCAGGGAAGTGACATCTCTGAGTCTGAAAAACCTAAGTGGAGGTGTTGATAACTGGGTGACCTTGAGGTCCTACTGACAGAGTTGTACGTTGAATTCGTCTTGAAAGAAGCTAACAACACCAAAAGTAGCTGCTAGAGGATTCCAGCTATGGCTTGCAAGTATCAGTAGTACAAATGGTGCTTTTCAAGAAAAAGCAACAGATTGTTGACATGTCCAGTTCTGCATAACCTTAGATCTCTCCTGTCCACTTCCTTCCCTTGAGACCAATAAAAAAGGACAAGGCAACATTTCTTATGTATTATATCACAGAAACAGTAAAAGCTACAAGCAAGCAAAATTATTTTACGCCTTATCAGGGGAAGGGGAAATATATTGACAACTAATTGATTTTAGCTATAATGGTGATGCCTGTTGATCAATACATTAATCCATTAAGTCTTGTTGAGAAAATTAACACATAAGTACTTAGATTTACCTAGTTGTTCCCAAACTCAGCATATGCCTTTGCTTCTTCCAGATTGCACTTTCTTCATACAAAGATATCATCTGCAATAAACACCATCCAAAATAAGAAGTTGTTTCCATATCTAGTTCAAGTTATTTTAACCATTTCTTTACTTATAGTTTTCTATTTTAGCATGAAATCACAAAAGGCAAGGTTACAACAACTATGATTATGGCACAACCTGCAGCAAATACAGCTCCAAGTTTAACATTTTTAGCTGAGGGTGAGCTGAACAGAAATACAATCTGACATCTGTATTTATGAGACTGGTACCTGCAATTTGACTTAACCAAACCTGAAAAAAAAGTTCTCTCAAAGCATTGTCTTGGTCTTCCTGCACAAATCTATGGTATGCTTCCACCAGAAGTTGGCCATATAGTTCTGCTGGAACACCTAAGGATGGCATGTAGTCACCCCCCCCCCTTCCCGGAAAGCCTGGGGTTTGGGTGGGTGTAGACTAGAACCCGCACTGAAGCAGATTATTTTAACATATTTCAGTGCAGGTTTTAGGGCTGTGTGGAAGTGCCCTAAGGCTTCTCTTACAGGGAAAAGATATAATAGAAATATGATAGTCATCCAAGAAAAAGAACCAAATGGGTTTTGGGGATTATTAAATACTTCAGGGGTTAATGTGTGATCCTAATGTATCTAAGGGCCCTTCCAAACAGGCCTATATTCCAGAATCTGATCCCAAGTTTTCGGTTTATCCCAGATTGTCTGGCAGTGTGGACTCATATCATTCAGTTCGAAGCAGAAAACCTGGAGTCAGATCCTGGGATATAGGGCCTGTCTGGGAGGGGCCTTAGTAAACTTCTGCTCCTTGTATCGAACTGTATTGAGATGTTCCTGTTACGTTTTGATAGCCTAGTCACGCTTAGCATATTGAACTAACAGGAACAACACACTGACTGGTCATTATACAGGAGGGAAAAAATGTCTTATTTGTAAGGTATAAAAACATGTTCTCCAGACTGTTCTAACAGCATGATAGCATCTAGTTTCACTGCAAGTTGTTTCTTGTAATTCACTGCAAGGAAGGAATCCCACCGGAGCATTGCAGCACACCAAAATATCTGGGAGTTACCCTGGACTGTGTTCTGCCTTACTAGAAGCACTGCTTGAATATCAAGCTAAAAGGGGATGGTAGAAATAATATCGTATGAAAAACCGACTGGCACAACCTGGGGATCACAACCAGACACAGTGAAGACATCTGCCCTTGCACTTTGCAACTCTGTTGCAGAATACATATGAGGGCAAGATATACAACAAAAGTAATACAGTTATATAAGAAGTCTGCTGTAGGAATCAGCTGGTTATTTCATATCAAGAAGTTGGTGATTAAGAGACTTGCAAAAAAGAACTTACAAACTTTGTCATTGAATAACTTTTGGTTTTCAAAAAGGACTCACAAACTTGTGTATTTTTCTGTAGGAATTAATTGTTCATCCCATATAAGGGAGTTTTTTGGTTTAGAAATTTGCATTGTGAATTGCTGTTAAGTATACTGTGTACAAGCTGCTAGTACATTGCATGTTGCAGTACTATAGCATAGATACTACATTCATTCTTATGATTATACCAGCTGTTCCCTGTCACGCGTTGCTATGGCTCAGTCTGTGTATATGTGTTTGGTGTGTGTATATATGTGTATATGTGTATGTTTGTGTGTTGTTGTTCATTCGTTCAGTCGTCTCCGACTCTTCGTGACCTCATGGACCAGCCCACGCCAGAGCTCCCTGTCGGCATCACCCCCAGCTCCTTCAAGGTCAGTCCAGTCACTTCAAGGATGTCATCCATCCATCTTGCCCTTGGTCAGCACCTCTTCCTTTTGCCTTCCACTTTCCCCAGCATAATTGTCTTCTCTAGGCTTTCCTGTCTCCTCATGATGTGGCCAAAGTACTTCAACTTTGTCTCTAGTATCTTTCCCTCCAGTGAGCAGTCGCTAGGCAGTATAATTTTTCGATCTTCTCGCAGTCCAAGGCACTCTCAGAACTTTCCTCCAACACCACAGCTCAAAAGCATCGATCTTACTTCGCTCAGCCTTCCCTAAGGTCCAGCTCTCACATCCATAGGTGACTACAGGGAAGACCATGGCTTTGACTAGGCGGATCTTTGTTGCCAGTCTGATGTCTCTACTCTTCACTATTTTATCGAGACTGGACATTGCTCTCCTCCCAAGAAGTAAGGAAGCGTCTTCTGATTTCCTGGCTACAGTCTGCATCTGCAGTAATCTTTGCACCTAGAAATACAAAGTCTGTCACGGCCTCCACGGTTTCTCCCTCTATTTTCCAGTTGTCAATCATTCTTGTTGCCATAATCTTGGTTTTTTTTGGCGTTTAGCTGCAACCCGGCTTTTGCGCTTTCTTCTTTCACCTTGATTAGAAGGCTCCTCAGCTCCTCCTCGCTTTCGGCCATCAGAGTGGTGTCATCTGCATATCTGAGGTTTTTAATGTTTCTTCCAGCAATTTTCACCCCAGCTTTGCATTCATCCAAGCCCCGCACATCGCATGATGTGTTCTGCATACAAGTTAAAAAGGTTGGGTGAGAGGATGCAGCCTTGCCGTACGCCTTTCCCAATCTTGAACCAGTCTGTTGTTCGGTGGTCAGTTCTGACTGTTGCTACTTGGTCCTTGTACAGATTCCTCAGGAGAGAGACAAGGTGGCTTGTCCCACAAGAACTTGCCACAATTTATTATGATCCACACAGTCAAAGGCTTTAGAATAGTCAATGAAGCAGAAGTAGATGTTTTTCTGAAACTCCCTGCCTTTCTCCATTATCCAGCGGATATTGGCAATCTGGTCTGTCGTTCCTCTGCCTTTTCTAAACCCAGCTTGAACATCTGGCAACTCTCGCTCCATGTATTGCTGGAGTCTTCCTTGCAGGATCTTGAGCATTACCTTACTGGCATGAGAAATAAGGGCCACTGTACGGCAGTTGGAGCAGTCTTTCGCATTTCCCTTTTTTGGTATGGGGATATAAGTTGATTTTTTCCAGTCTGATGGCCATTCTTGTGTTTTCCATATTTGCTGGCAAATGGCATGCATCACCTTGACAGCATCATCTTTTAAGATTTTAACAGTTCAGCTGGGATCCCGTCGTCTCCTGCTGCCTTGTTGTTAGCAATGCTTCTTAAGGCCCATTCAACCTCACTCCTCAGGATGTCTGGTTCTAATTCATTCACCACACCGTCATAACTATCCTCAATATTATTATCCTTCCTATACAGATCTTCTGTATAGTCTCGCCACCTTCTCTTGATCTCTTCAGCTTCTGTTAGTTCCCTGCCATCTTTGTTTCTTATCATACCAATTTTTGCCTGAAATTTACCTCCAATGTTTCTAATTTTCTGGAAGAGGTCTCTTGTCCTTCCTATTCTGTTGTCTTCTTCCACTTCCATGCATTGCTTATTTAAAAATAGTTCCTTATCTCTTCTGGCTAACCTCTGGAATTGCGCATTTAACTGGGCATATCTCCCCTTATCACTGTTTCCTTTCGCTTTCCTCCTTTCTTGGGCTACTTCCAGTGTCTCAGCAGACAACCATTTTGCCTTCTTGGTTTTCTTTTTCTTTGGAACGTACTTTGTTGCCGCTCCTGAACAATGTCACGGACTTCTGTCCATAGTTCTTCTGGGACTCTGTTTACTAAATCTAGTCCTTCAAATCTGTTCTTCACTTCCACTGTATAATCGCTAGGAATGTTAGTGAGATCATGTTTGTGTACATATGTCTATATTTGTGTATATATGTGGTTTTGTGCATGCGTTGTAATGCTTTTTTGTTTTTAGGCTTTTTACATCCCTTCTGCTGTGTTTTTCAGTGTTTTTTTGAGTGATGGTCACTTGTTGGCCTGAAAGGTGTATTGTGTCCAAATTTGGTGTCAATTTGCCCAGTGATTTTTATGTTAATCCCACAAAAAAATTACATGTTTATATAGATAACTGTATTACTTATTGTTGTATAGTGGCCTCTTGCCCTTGTACTTCGGGGAATCACTTTTCTCTATTGTTGAACCAGTGGGTGTGGCTCTTAATGAGACATGATACATTATTACAGGAAGTTGACACCCTACACTGCCTGAGAAAATACACTGTTTAGCCAGTATTGCACACCTGATATCTGCTGGGAAGTAGCAGCCAGTGTAGAAAGGACCAAGGCATTGACATCCCAGGCCCTTCCTCTGTTCAGACATCAGCCGGCAAGCCAATGTCTCAAATCAAGAAATTGTTTTCTAAGATCTACAGAGATACTTGCAGGAATAGCTCAGCAAGTGAGTCCAAAAGTGGCAGGCCAAAATCATCTCATTATCAGTGGCTGATAATGGGATGAGAAACTCCTCCTGGGCACACACAAGACTGGGGACTTGGAAAGTGCTGAACAGACTGCGCTCTGGCACTATGAGGTGTAGAGCCAAACTTAAAAAATGGGGCTTCAAAGTGGAGTCCACAAAATGAGAGTGTGGAGTAGAGCAAACCATAGACCATTTACTGCAATGCAGTCTGTGCCCTGCCACACGCACAATGGAGGACCTTCTTACAGTGACACCAGAAACCAGCTTCTGGTCAAAAGAAATTTAGTGGTTGTGATATTGTGGCATCGAATTGTTGCCAGTGTTAGCCACGCTGAGTCCCACCTCGGCGGTTGAGAAGGGTGGGGTAGAAATGTTGTAAATAATAATAATAATAAAATAATAGTATAGTAAGTTTTAAAATTTTGTTTATGGTTTGAATGCATCATAACTGTATTCTCTCATGAGAAGAAAGGAAAGCTTAGAGAAGACAATTATGCTGGGGAAAAAGGAAGGAAAAAGGAAGAGGGGCCGACCAAGGGCAAGAATGGATGGATGGTATCCTTGAAGTGACTGGATTGAACTTGAAGGAGCTGGGGGTGGTGACAGTCGACACATCTCTGGTGTGGGCTGGTCCATGAGGTCATGAAGAGTCAGAAACGACTGAATGAATGAACAACAACAAAACTGTATTCTCAATTCTTCTCTAAGGAAAGCTTAGAGAAGACAATTATGCTGGGGAAAATGGAAGGA